TTAAAAAGGTTAATTTTTGTGGTCTATGTATTTTACCACAACTTTTAAAAGAGTCGGTATCTTTAAAACAAAATAAAGGGGGAAAGCTGCAAAACTGTTTCAGGGTAAAGAGGACTTGATCACTAAATGCATGACCCTTAATTGGCTCCTGGATCTGAAAAAAAGAAGAAAATAGTTAAAAGGACATTATCAGGATAAGTGAAAAACATTAACATGGACTTAATTTAGATAACAGTAATAGCTAAATTAACACTTGAGAGAAAAATTAACGTATCAAAATTGTATCTATATAATAAAAGCCTTAAGTGACCCTTACAGCAGAACGACCAGAACGACCGGTCACTATATGTGCACTGACCACCAGAGGGCAGACACTCAATGAAAGAGCTGCCCGCTGGTGGTCAGTGTGCTCCCACAGAAGGAGCTCCACTCAGCCAGAAGCCAGGCTCATGGCTGGCAAGTGCAGCGGCAGTGGTGGGAGCCTCTCTCGCCTCCGAGCAGTGCTAAGGAGCAGCAAGCCGAGAGGTAAGGAGCAGTGAGCAGGCAGACATCCCCCGAGGGGGCCCGGACCGCAAGAGAGTGCAGGCCGGACTGAGGGACCCCTCCCCTTCCCCCCCCCAATGCATGAATTTTGTGCACCTGGCTTCTAGTAGGCTATACCAACAGAGCACCGTAGCCTCCCAGTGCTCAGTTACCTGAACAGTTTTAAGATCTGCTGCTTTACATTTTGGTGGTTGCATGCAAGAGAATCCCAGTTTAAGAAAATCTGATATAAAAAATGAGGACATACAAAACTAATAAATGGAGGGTGGCTATTTTAAAGATATATTTTATTTATTTATTTATTTATTTAATATATTTTATTGATTTTTTTACAGAGAGGAAGGGATTGGGATAGACAATTAGAAACATCGATCAACTGCCTCCTGCACACCCCCCACTGGGGATGTGCCCGCAACCAAGGTACAGGCCCTTGACCGGAATCAAACCCAGGACCTTTCAGTCCGCAGGCCGACGCTCTATCCACTGAGCCAAACCAGTTTCGGCTATATTTTATTTTTTTATATTTAGTTACAGTTTTTCAGATTTTCCTTGGTTTTGATGACTTGGACAGTTCTGAGGAATACCGGTCAGATGCTTTGCAGAATTTGCAGAAATATCCCTCTCTTGGAACTTGCCTGATGTTTTTCTCCTGATTATGCCGGAGTTACGGGGTTTGGGGAGGTAGACCACAGAGGTGCAGTGCCATTTCCATCACATCATATCACACACCAGTGCTTTTTCTCGATGTTGACCTTGGTCATTTGGCTGAGGTATGTTTGTCAGGGTTCTCCACTGTAAAGTTTGGTGCGCCTGTCCCCTCCCCCCTTTCCATACTGTACTCTTCGGAAGGAAGTTACTATGTGCAGCCCACACTTAGGAGTCTCTTCAAGAGAACAGTACTTACATAAATTACACTCTGTCTCTTCAAGAGAACAGTACTTACATAAATTATTTGGAACTCTCCTGCATGGGAAATTTGTCTTTTTTCTCTCATTTACTTATTTATTAAGTCATTTATATCAGTATGAACTCATGGGCATTTATTTTATATCTGAGGAAATAATCCCATACTTCCTTATTTTGATGTTCCTTTGTCTTACCCACATCAATATGTGGTTTTGTTTTTGCTTGTTTTGGAGCATTTCCTTATTTTCTGTTATTACAAGAAACTCCAAGCTTATCTTGTATATTTCCTGCCCCAGTTCTAGAATCAGCCACTTTCCGAGGAGCCCAGGGGATGGCTATTTTCATTTTTAGTTGATTACTCACCCCACATATGGGTAAAGGTACTGGTGCATGCACATTATTTTACATAATTTGATTGACAACTCTTCAGGAGCATGCCTTTTGCTGGACTCAGCTATTTTAAAAACTATGTTCTAGTTTTTTAAAGTTTCCAGCGAGATTTTATTCTAGCCAGCATATGAAAAGCTGTTCTAAGATAAGAAGTGTCTTTATCTCCATCCTTATCATGAAAGGAGGTCATTGGTGAAACTGTGGGGTGTTATAAGGGTTTTGTGGCAAAGGCTGATATGGTGAAATGAAAACCAAACTGAGTTTGGAAATTGGATTTAGTCCAGATGTTACCACTGCACCTATGTGCACTTGGTCAAGTACCACTTTGCTCTTTCTGCCTCGTCTGTAAAAAGAGATGAGTGGCAGAACTCATTTCTGAGGTTCCATTCAGTTTTTAAATGCTCTGCTATTAACAACACAGCACTATTTTGGAGCTTTGAAGACTTCGAGGTGGGAGATGTGGGCAAGAATAGAAGTGTAAAAGGGCAACATGTGACTCCAGGAGAAAGAGGCAGATCAATGACCGAAATGCAGGGTTTTAGAGTTAGCTGGTGAGCACCAGCATCAGTGGTATCATTCATAATCATATTAAATATTAATGATAACATTAAAGCCTTAATCTTGATTGTAATATAGCTTGCGGCTGCTGCTCTAGATCCCTGGCAGAGTGTGTTTCAGGCTGTGGTTCTCAAACTTGGCTACACATTGGAAGCACTTGAATACAATCAGAACTACTGTTGACCAAGTTCCAGTGCCAGAGGTTCAGATATACTTGTTTTGGGGTATAGCTTAGGCATCAGGAGTTTTTAAAGTTCTCCCTCCCCCACCCCATTCTAATGGCATCCAAGGTTGAGAAGCACTGCTTTAAGCTATAGAGGCTCTGGCCTCTCTCCCAGATAACACATGCGTCTCCTTAAGGGTAAGGACCACATCTTTGCAGCCCTCAGAGTACCTTGTACATAACACCTGATGAACTGGGTTTGGATAGTGTATTAGCTTTCCTATTGCTGCTGTAAAAAAATTACCACAAACTCACAACACAAATTAATCTTCTTACAGTCCTGGAGCTCAGAAGTCCAAAAAAGCTCTCACTGGCCTAAAATCAAGGTGCTGGCAGGGATGGTTGTTTTTTTCCTGGAGGCCCTACAGGAGAATCCATTTCCTTGGTTCATGGCATCCCATCACTCCAACCTCTGTTTCCATTGTCACACTTGTCTCCTCTGACACTGACCCTCTTGCCTCCCTCTTAAAGGTCCCTTGTGGTAATATTGGGCCCAACTGGATAATCTCCCCATCTCAAGAGCCTTAACTGAATCACATTTGCAAAGCCCTCTTGTCACCTTAGGTAACATTCGCAGGTTCTGGGAATTAGTACAGGACATCTTTGGGGGGACACTATTCTATCTACCATTAACAGAAACAGAACAACTGCTCTAGCTACAGGCCCATGCCTGGAATTAAGCCACCCTGTGATACATGGCGGCTCTTACTTTCCCTTTCTTGTTTTAGCTGTGTCAGGATTTAATTAGAGATCATCTTTGTGGAAAGTTATACACCCTTGTGAAAATTTAACATGTGAAAAAAACAGTGAGGCACCTGAAAGCAACAGAAATGAGCAGATACGTATTTTTAAATGATCCAGTAAAGTGATATTCAGAAGTGTAATTGCCTGTGGTGTTTAATGAGCAGGCAGAGATGCTTCCATCACTCTGGCAAAGGGCTGTGCCTCAGGGCTGGGAGGATGACTGCATCTCTGTCCTCCGGTTTTCTTGCCACCCACTCACCCTGTTGCTCCCTGAGCCTGGTTGTGCTTAGGACAAGAAGCAAGTTGGCACCTCCAGCCCCACCCTCGGCTCTACAAGCCACTCCCTGGGCAAAGTGTGTGAGGGCCCGGTGATAGCATATCTGGCCCGAAGCCAGAGACAGTGTCAGACGGTTGCGAGTAAGGAGAGGGGGCTGGAAGACATGGTTGTGGATAAGGGTTTCCCTTTTACCGCTGAATACGCCCGTAGAGGCCCCTGAGGAAAAAAATGTCTTTCTATGGAGGGGTTAGTCTGACCCTGTTACCTGCTCTAAGGGTCCAGTTCCCTTCTCCCACGAAAGCCCCAAGATGGCTCTTTCCAGCTGGTCTCTGTCTTGCAGGACAGTGGAGTCTAGCCAGCCATATCCCCGACTGAGTTGGTCAAGACCCTGTTCTGAGAACTCTCTCCAGCCAGAGCGTGGCCCCAGCTATTGCCATGGTGACAGCCAGCTGCTGCTTAGCGCCACCAGCCTGGGGACCAAGAAAAGGCAGCCTAAGGGGGTGCAGACTGGGCAGCCCTGGACTCCTGGAGGCCTTAGTGGGTGGCAGAAAGATCCCTTAGAGGACCCCTGGTAGTCTCTGATGGGTTGTTCCCTCAGGGCAGTCAGGAAGTTCAAAAGGCTTACATCCCTCCATTCCTCCACACTGTAATCGGGGTTTGTAGAAAGTTCCTTTGCCAAGGGAGTTCTGCTGTTCTTACACCCACACATTCATGCATGCATTCTTTCACTTTGGTATGCACTTTAATTCTTGAATTTGACATCATATTGACCTTCAAGAAAGTCGGAGACCTGGGAGTATCTACTTGTCCTGCTTTGACTTTAAGACCTGCCCTTGGATGTAGCTGGGTTAGAATTCAGAACTTCATGGAGCTTCTGTGTGACCCAGGGCAACTTAGTTAACTTAGTAATGACAGTCTATTGTCAGGCATTGTGGTGCATACTTTCCATACATCGTCTTATTTCATTTTCATCTACTTTTTTAAAATGTAGTTGTTTTTAATTCCCACCTTTAGACACAGAAACTGAGGCTCCAGATTTGTCCAGCATGGACTCAGATCTGAAGCCCAAGTTCTTAGCCATTGTTCTTCACCTTGTAAGCTGTAATTTCCTCATCTGTAAAATGGGGATAATAGCCGCCTCACAAGATAACTGTGTTGTGAGGATGGATGGGATAATCTTGGTAAAAGCTTTTCATGAAGATAAAGCGCTATCAACTATCAACTATCAACTGTATCACTGGGGAGGAGAAGGATGCTTATCTCTGGGTCCTGGGAAAGACCTCCTACTCTCCTTTAAAGTTATCCAACGGCCGCTGGTTTCCAAAATCACGGAGTCTAGCTGGTCCCTTGTCTCCGCAGGTGATTTCCATGGTGATGGTGGCCATAGGAGTCTATGCTCGGCTGATGAAGCACACAGGTGAGCTACAGGCCCCCCTCTGTCTCTCTACGACTCTTGCTAGGGCTCTTCCTTCTCTGTCTCCTTCAGCCCTGCACCACTCCTTCCCATATAAGCTATGGGACTAAATGGAGCAACCACCCTCTAGCCAAACCTTGTTCTCACGCCAGTTCACCTGGATTTCCCAGAGCTCCCATGAACCCTGCAAATATACCTGCCTTTTAGGCTTAGGAAATGTCTAGGAAAGAAGGTAGGCCTCTAGGAACACAGTAATCAGAGGTTTCAGCCCTTCCCTCACTCTGTCCTGGAGTAACTCAACCTCCATTCCCATTCCAGTGCACAAAATCTCCGAGAAACGATCAGCAAAGCTAGTGAGCCTAATACCATCCCAATTTTTTTCTGGAGCAAAAGTGGTCACTCCTTTCTTGAGCCAAGGAATAAAGGCTCTTACTTTGTAAGTTCCTCAACTTAAATGCCACAAACCCTGCTGGGCCCTTTTTGTTCTCCCCTGAGAGGGAAGTACTGCCTCCCCATAACTTTCACCCAATTACACTAGACACCACCCCCCCCCACTAGGGGAAGAGAACATTTGGGGGGGGGCACCTCCCACCCATTCCTGGGTGCCACCCTGAGTTGGCACCAGGCTCAGACTGAGAAACCGCCCCTTCTCCCAGAAGCAGCCTGGGCCCTGGCTGTGGATCCAGCCATCCTGCTGATCGTGGTGGGCATCCTCATGTTTCTGCTCACCTTCTGTGGCTGTATCGGATCCCTCCGTGAGAACATCTGCCTCCTGCAGACGGTGAGTGCTCAGCGGCCCCACTAGAAAGACCTAGGCCCCCTTCTCGTGTGCCTCTCAGCCTCCCAGTGCCATTCCTACAACCCTTCGATTTCCTCTGTCCCACCCTACCCCCAAGGTCAGTGCTGTCCACTCCTCACCGTAGAGTTCAGCCCAGGTGACCCCTTTACCGGGAGGGGGGTCATCTGGGAGAAGTACCCTGTGGTTCCTCAGTACTCCCCATGGGAGGGGCTACTGCCCAGTGTGGTAACAGACCGTTGCCTTTTCCTGCCCACTCCCCACAGTTCTCACTCTGCCTCACCATCGTGTTCCTGCTACAGCTGGCTGCCGGGGTCCTGGGCTTCGTCTTCTCAGACAAGGTAATGTTGGGAGCCAAGGGCCTTCTCTGGTGTGAACCAGAAGAAGAAGGGAAAGTTTCTGCCTGGGATTAGCCTGATTAACTAACCCAGCACCAAGAAGCATCAGCCTTTGAAAGTTTCTCCTAAGGGATGAATGAATAGCCTTTAAAGTCACCATATTTAAAGAGGACTTTAAGATTGTTCCCCTCTGACAATCCGAGAGGCTAGCAGGGAAGGTCTATGAACACAAAGTCAAAATAATCTTCAAACTTTAACGGCAAATGATTGCACCACAGACAACATGAAGAGTATTTTACTTCTTTTGGGGGGAAATGTCTGTTGGAATAAATAGTAGGAAGGAAAGAGCAAAGTAAACAAGATTCTGAATGGTGCTTACCACATCTGCATTCAGTGATAGTTCCTTTCATTAAGAACCAAAATTCCTTTCCAAAGGGCAAATGATTGTAGAGGACAGTATAGGATTATGGAGAAGATGTTTTGGGGGAAAGTAGTGGAGCAAGAAGGAAGAGATCATGTTAGGAACTATGAAGTTGAGAGCCACTGTATTCATTTAGCATGTCCTAGTCCTTCTTTCTGGCTTAGTAAACTCTTAAAATGATAAATGTAGATGTTTTGAGTCTAAAGAGATGTAATTCTCTTATGTCCACTAGAGGTCAGTGCTTTAGCTTAGTAAGTTTTTTTCTACTAAGAAAAAAAAAAAAAAAAAAAAGTTCCTCTGCTTTGCATCAATCAGCAAGTATTTGGTGGTAATAGAATCAGAAGTAGATAAATATTTGATTATCATGAAATGTGGCGCTTTGGAGGTCCACTGGTGCCTGAGGGCCTAAGGATGGATGGGCTTCAGAACTGGCTCTCTTCCATCACTAGGACCTGGTTCTGATTTCAAAGCTAACTTAAACAAGGATGACTGCTGTCGGCTGTGATTTCTGCAGGAAGGAGCAGGTTAGGGTTTAGCTCTGTGTTCTTACTCCCTACTCTGTCTCTGGCAGGCACGAGGGAAAGTGAGTGAGATCATCAATAATGCCATTGTGCACTACCGAGATGACTTGGACCTGCAGAACCTCATTGATTTTGGCCAGAAGGAGGTATGGGCTAAGAGGTGGGGGTGGGCAGCTAGTGGTCCGGGAGGCTGTGAGCAAAAGTGCCTTCCCAAGAGAGGCCTTACCCTCCAGGCCTGGGGGCTTCTTCATTGCCTGCCAGAGTAATGGATTCTGGGAAGGGGGTTGGAAAAAGAAATACATGCAGGGTGCTTTAAAAGCATTTTTAAGGGCAGAATATATAGTAATCTACCACTTGCGTAAAACAAGAGGGAGGAAAGAACATGTATTCACATTTGCAAAAGGAATCTGAAAGGATATGTAAGAATCTATGATAAGAGGTTGCTTATGGGGGTGATGAAGAACTGGGGAGATTTTTTAATATTATCTTTTATTCAGAAATTAAAATTTTTTAATTGTGATAAAATATACATAACATAAAAATTACCATTTTAACCATTTTTAAGTGTACTGATCTGTGGCTGCAAGTACAGTCACATTGTACAGCCACCATCACCATCTACCTCCAGAACTTTTTCATCTTCCCCCACTGGAATTCTATACCCATTAAGCAAGAACTCCCCATTTCCTCCTCCCCCAGTTTCTGGCAACTACCATTCTACTTTTTGTTTCTATGAATTTGACAACTCTTGTACTTCTTATAAGTGAAATCACACAGTATTTGTTCTTTTGTGACTAGCTTATTTCACTTAGCATAATGTCTTCAATATTCATCCAAATTGTAGGATGTGTCAAAATTCCCTTCCTTTTTAAGGCTCAACTATATTTCATTGTATGTATATACACCATACTTTGATAACCCATTCATCTTTTGATGCACACTTGAGTCAGTTCCAACTTTTGGCTCTTGTGAATAAATCCGCTATGAATCACATTTTAAATAAAAGTGCTTCTGAGACTAGTGTTGAGTTCCCCTTCCCTTGGCATAATAGACACTGACCTAATCCTACTCGCTTTCATGAGTAATTATGGGCCCACAATATTGCAGGTCCTCCTCCTGTGTCTTCTCTACATTAACACAAATGTTTGCAACACTGAGCCTTTTACTTCCATCAGTGTTTTTGAACACCTCCTTTTGCCAGGCTCTGTGCTATTCAGGACTTCAAAACCAGAAACTGCCCTCAAGAAACTCATAGTTTAAAAGTGTAAAACTTCTTCACCTGAAGGCCATTGAAAAACTTGGGCTCATGTTTCAAGGTTGTGTTAAACACAACCTGCCTTTACAAGTGGAAGCTTGCCATGGTCTTTGGCTGTTCTGAGAATTCTCCTGATCACCTCATTGTGAGTGTGGGTGATTCTTAACCTCTGTGATGGGCTTTGTTGCAGTTCAGCTGCTGTGGAGGGATTTCCTACAAGGACTGGTCCCAGAACATGTACTTCAACTGTTCAGAAGACAATCCCAGCCGGGAGCGTTGCTCTGTGCCTTACTCCTGTTGCTTGCCTACTCCCAACCAGGTGAGCAGACGTCACACCTCATTTCCTTCCGGGCAGTGATCGGAGTTACCTTCAAATTAGGACAGTCACAGTTAGGAATCCCCATTTCCTAGTTTAACCCATCAGTTTTGTTGGACAGCTGTCAGATGTTCTTCTTCACCCCAATCTGATGGCCTTTTACTCATGCAGCCCACATGGGAGTTCAGAAGGGGTGAGTCTCTGAAGCAAAGAGAACTGGACGTGGATCTCTCCGAGGAAGGGAAGCCTGCATTTAGCAACTTATAACCTAGCATCCTCCACATGTATTCTCTATCAATTCAGGACTTTAAGAAGGGTGATCCCTGACTGGTTTGGCTCAGTGGATAGAGCATTGGCCTGCGGACGCAAGGGTCCCAGATTCGATTCCAATCAAGGGCATGTACATTGGTTGTGGGCACATCCCCAGTAGTGGGTGTGCAGGAGGCAACTGATCATTGTTTCTTTTTCATTGATGTTTCTAACTCTCTATCCCTTTCCTTTCCTCTCTGTAAAAAAATCAATAAAAAATATATTTTAAAAAATAAATAAATAAAAAGAAGGGTGGGAAGCCCATCAACTATGGTCTGAAAGAAAAGGTGATTGGAATGGGAGTCCCACTCGGCTTTTTAACTTTCTCACTAGGCAGTGATCAACACCATGTGTGGCCAAGGAATGCAGGCCCTTGAGTACTTGGAAGCTAGTAAAGTCATCTACACCAATGGCTGTATTGACAAGTTGGTCAACTGGATACACAGCAACCTCTTCTTACTTGGTGGTGTGGCACTGGGCCTGGCCATCCCCCAGGTAACTTACCCTGCAAGACTTGTGGGTCCCACCTTTCTGCAGAGACTCCTTTGTTTGGGGGAGGGCACCTGGGATCAGCTAGGGTGTCAGGCACTGACATTGCTGAGGAGCAGGGGATGAGATGGTGCTGACCGAACTGGGAAGATTGAGTCAGGGAAAACAAGGGCATTGCTCATTGCTGAGGGCCCAATCCTTCTTGCCTCTCCCAGCTGGTGGGAATCCTGCTGTCCCAGATCCTTGTGAATCAGATCAAAGATCAGATCAAGCTACAGCTCTACAACCAACAGCACCGGGCTGACCCATGGTACTGAGAATCCACCTGCACCTCTTCACTGTGGCAACGGGCAAGCCTCATCACCAACAGCAGTGGGTACAGCTCCCAATGGAGATTTGGATCCCCCCCACCCGGCAACAGCCCAGTGGGAAGAAGCAAACTCCAAACAGGCTGATGGCTGGTGCTCAGGTGGCTCAAGTCTCGGGAAGATGTTCCTTCGCTCCTCTTTCCAGCCCTCAGTATTGTTAAAGTTGTTTTGTATTGTTTCTTACCTAACCCGTTTGGGTTTATGTTCTTTTAAGTTTTGTCTGGGCACAGATGTTTGGGAACAGCAGTTGCACAGAGTCATGAGGGTGTAGCTGCAGCTTTTCACGGAGGCGCTATAACTGACTGCTCTACTGAGGTTGATGGACACACTCAGAATCCAACTGATGCCAGCAAGACCTGGCTGAGGAGTGACCCAGCAGCTCTGCCTGGAGTCCATTTGGCATGGTGCTGGCTCCAGAAGGGAAGGGAATGGAGCAGGCAGTGAGCTTGGGGGTCAGCTGGGGACAGTTGTGTGTGTTGGGTAGCAATGGAAGGCAATATGTTTACTAAATGCCTGCCCTGCCATCCTCCCAGGTAGTCAGAGTGAGGTACATCCTGTCCCTCCCTCATCTCCATGGAAACGTGGCAGCAAGGGCAAGGGGGGACAGCAGCAGCCAAATTCATCCCTCTCTCTCTGACACCCTTTGAAAAATGTTCGGGACCATGGTCTCCACATTCTGCAGCCAGCAAAGGTGGAACTGAGCCATTCCTTCTTTTTCATCCCTCCAGCGTGGCCCTCCCTCTCCAGCAAGAGGGGTTCTTTAAGCTTGGCAGTGTAACCCCCCCCCCCCCTCGCCCCCATTCCCTTGCACTAGAGCTCAGTATTTCTACAGTTAGAGGCAAGGATCTCGCTGGGGCAGGGGGAGCCAGCAGTGGCAATAAAAGTTTGTTGACCTGGGCTAAGCTGAACTCCATGAATTTTCCATTCTGGCAACTAGGAGGGGAAGGGTAGAGGGCCCAGCGTGGGCCCTCCCTCCAGGAGAGGACTGGAGACTCCCCTAAATACCGCTGTCCCTCCTCGGCCCCATGTCCCTCTGTGTCTATCAGATGTACCCCCTTCTCCCACAACCCGCTCTCATGATTAGGTCGAAAGATGCCAATTCTGATCTGGAAATGCGTTCATTGTATCCCGAAGCCTAATGTTAATTTCCTTTTCCCAAACTAAAAAAGTGAACTAACATTTGCCACCCAAACCTTTTAGGGTAGGGAAGGGGAGGTAAAGAGATGTCTGGACACCACGGTCCAGCTCTCTCCCTGGGTGAGACCGGAGCGAGGAGGGAAAAGCCACCTCTTCACTCCCAGGCTTGGCCCTGTAGCCCCTCTTTCTTCTTTATCTGGGAGAGCTGGTCACCACAGCCCATCTTGCTCAGGAGAAGACTCAGAGAAACATTTGATCCGGGATCGGGGCTTCTCGGGCCCAGAGGAGCGGGCCCAGAGGAGCGTGCAAGGGCGGCGAGCGGGGAGGCCGCTGGGCGGCGGAGGGCGGGGCCGGGGCGGGGCCGTCGTGGGTGGTCCTCGGCCCGAACCCGCTCCCAGCGCACCCCCCTCCGAGGAGCTGGGGGCTGGGCTGCGTGACCCCGTTGTACCGTGAGTGTCCCCCGAAGTCTGCTCGCCCGCCCCTGCTGTCGGGGGCGAGGGGCTCCGATTAAGGAGCCCAGGAAAGACTGGAGAGAAGCCCCGCGGCGCTGGGGAGGCAGCGCTCTCCCCGCCCCCAGTCTCTCCCGGGCGAGCCTGCTGCTCCTGGGAGGGCGCCTTTCCAGCAGCCGCCCGGGGCCCCAGCCAACATTTCGTTCCAGCTAGTAACAGAACGGAAAGAAGAAAAAAAACCAAAATCATCACAAATAAAAAATTAAAAGCAAGGGCCTTTTATTCTGGGAGAGAGGAGTTTAAAAGCACGCTTTCTTAGTAAGTCTCCAGAGACGTGCATTTTATACTTTTTCTTCTTTTGGTGACGCAGACCCAGAAATCCGTGCTTCGGGTTAGGAGTTGGAGTGATACATCTTCCCAGTTCACTGCCTTTGGATGAGCTCACCTGACAGGAGGGTCTTTTAGGGCCTCTTGAAGAAAGAGACAAAAAAAAAAAAAAAAAAAAAAAAAAAAAAAAAAAAAAAAAAAAAAAAAAACCCACAAAAAAACGGTTCACAGCTGGCTGGTGTGGCACCAGGAGGTGGTCCATTTGATTCCCAGGTCAGGGCACATGCAGATTGATGTCTCTCTCTCATTGATGTTTCTATCTGCCTCTCCTTCTGCCTTCCTTTCTCTGAAATCAATAAATACATATTTTTGATGGTTGGGAGGGAGGAAGGGGGGGAGTGAGATAGAGAAGGAGGGAGGGGAGAAAGAAAAGGGAAAAGGAAAAGAAAAACAGTGGTCCACAGAACCAGGATTCAAATCCAGATTTCTTAAATTCCAAGCTGCATTTTTACTTAAGTCTCCACTGTCTCTCGGTATCTAGGCTTCTGGGCTTGGACAAAAGGTTGGCCATTTCTGCCCAAGCCCAGATCTTAAAACAATCTGAGCAAATGTTCAGAAGCTGGTAGTGTGGTTCAGTGTTTCTAGCTAGATTTGTTCCTCAGTGTCTCTGGTATCAGTATCTCTCTAGCTTTCTCTTTGGCCTGATGCTGGGAGGGGGAAAAATTGCCCCAATTTAAAAAAAAAATTTTTTTTATTGTTATTTCATGTTTCAACTTAATTTGCTCCCTGAACTTCTGTGTTTCTAATAACCTTATGTGAGGTTAACGTTAGTATTTTAGAATAGCTATTAAGTCTAGGTTCAAAGGAGATTGTTGGGGTAGTGAATATCAGGCTGGATGGGCAGAAATGGAGAGATAAGAAAGTAGCGATTGCCAACTAGTGGTCTGCGGACCACTGGTGGTCCGTGAGGTCCGAAAGGTTGGTGACTGCTGACTTAAAGAATGGTGAAATCTGGCTGGAGTGACATGGCAAGAAAGGTACCACTAGGTTCTTTTAGGGCCTCAAACCCTACACTTTAAACAACGATGAGTCCAGAAGTGCCAGTTTTGCAGACTGTTCAATGAAATTCTGATTCCCTCTGTATTTGTTTTCTGTAGCTGCTGTAACAAATTACCACTTTGAATTTTGACTTCCCAGAAATTTTTTATCTTAACAGTTCTGGAAGTCAATTCCAAATAGGTTTCTCTGGGCTAAAGCAACATATGAGCAGAACTGAGTTCCTTCTGAGGGCTCTAGAGGATCCATTTTTCAACTTCTAGAAGCTACTTGCATTCCTGGCCCCATGTTCCATCTTTCAAAGCACATCACTCCAACTCTGCTTCCATGGTCACATCTCCTTTTTCTCTCCGACTCTCCCTTGTGCCCGATAGGACCGTGATGATTATATTGGGCCTACCCAGATTATCCAGACTAATCTTCCCATTTTAAGATTATTATTTTGCCGGACCGGTTTGGCTCAGTGGATAGAGCATCGGCCTGCGGACTGAAAGGTCCCGGGTTCAATTCCGGTCAAGGGCATGTACCTTGGTTGCGGGCACATCCCCAGTGGAGGGTGTGCAGGAGGCAGCTGGTCGATGTTTTGAACTCCCTGTCCCTCTCAATTCCTCTGTGTAAAATCAATAAAAATATTTATTTTTTAAAAAAGATTATTATTTTAACCACATTGACAGTCCCTTTTACCACGCAAGGAAATATACCCAGGAGGTTTTAGGGATTAGGACATGGACATTTTGGGTGGCCATTATTTAGCCTACCACATCCCTTTCTCACTCGAATGCATGACTTAAGCGGGGAGAGGTAGGAATGAGCAATTGTTAGATGCTAGCAGAGTTTGAGGTAGGAATTATCTGGCCTTTGTTCTGATAATTACTTAATATTTATTGAGTGTTTACTGGCTTGTCCCATCCCTAAGACCAGATATGTTACAATGTCAGGGACTAGTTTCAAAAAGGGAACACAGGAAGGGCATACTGGCTTCCATCAGAAGAGTTCTCCTGATCCATTCATCTAAATGGTTAGAAACATCGTGTAAGCCCCACCCCCTAAAAGTAAATTGAGTAATTAGATGATTCATCCATAGACAGAACACTTAGAGGAGGGAATGAAGCAAGGGATAATCATGCTCTAGAACTCAGGTTGGAAGTTAAGTCCCTCTCACCACAGTGCCAGGAATCTGGTAAATAAATCAGATGAATGGAATAACATAGAGATTCCAGAAATGTTTTCAATTATCAGTACACCAATACACAGGTGTTAGGGCAAGGGGATTATGCTAATTATGCTATGGAAAAGTAGTAACTTAGATTCATATCTCACCTCATACATGGAAATGCTTTCCAGAGGGTAAAATAATTAAATATTTTCACGCAAAACAAAGGGGGGAAAAGAAAGAGAGAGAGAGAGAATATCATATTTGTCCTAGCTGTAGTGGACAGTTTTCAGTGCATTTGCCTAGCTCACATGATTCTTCCTTTTTTGGAAACTGGCACCCTAACTCCTCAAGCCAGAAGGGTGAGTCTTGAGGAGCCATATCTTTACTACAAGACAGGGTCTCCTAAACAGAGCTAACTGGATCAAGCTTGGGCACTCTATTAGTTTCCTAGAGCTACTGTAACAAAGTACCACAAACTAGTTGGCTTAAAACAACAGAAACCATTATCTCACAGTTCTGGAGCCCAGAAGTCCAAAATTAAGGCATTGGTAGGGCCATGCTCCTTCTGGTGTTTCCAGTGGAGGGTTCTTCCTTACCTTTTTCAGCTTCTGGTAGCCCTGGGCGTTCCTTGGGTTATGGCAGCTCTCTGTGATCTCAGCCTTTATTTTCACTCCTGCCTATCTTACCTCTGTGTCTGTGTCCTAATTTCTTCTTATAAAGACACAAGTTGTACAGAAACTAGGGGCCCAGTACACAAATTTGTGCACCTTGAAAGGGACTGTGGGCCCCAAGGCTGCAGTGGGCACAGGGGCGGGTCTTGGCTCATCCTCCGAGCCCCCACCCAGCCCCTCCCACCGCTGGGAGGGGCTGGGTGGGGGCTCGGAGGATGAGCCAAGGGGACTCAGAGGGGCTGGGTGGGGGCTCGGAGTCCCCTGTCTGCTGGCAGTTCCACTCCTGCTGCCACCACCCCCACACACTGACAGTCCCAGCCCCATTCACTCCCACTGATGGTGTGGAGTGATTGGGGCTGGCACCAGCAGCCAGATGCATCAGTGGGTGTGAGCAGCGGTTGCTGCTGCTCTGATCACCCCTCAGGAGCAGGGGGGAGGTGAAGAAGCCGCAGGGGCAATTGGGGCTGGCAGCCACCACTTGCACCTGCTGATGGCACCGAGCAATTGGGACCAGCAACAGGCACCAGCAGTGGGTGCAGGTGGCGGCATTGGTGTGAACGGGGCCTGTGCCAGCAGTGGGTATGAGCACTGGGCAGGATCACGGCACACAGCAGCAAAGAATTTTCAGAAACCACCAGAGGCTTGTCCCGATGAGTGACCAGCACCCCACCTTGGTGTGGCGCCCCCACTCATCTGCTCCACCATGTTCTGTGATCTACCGCCTGCTGTCTACACCCATGTTCCACAAGCACCTCCTGGTGGTTAGCGCATGTCATAGCTACAGGTTGTTCTGTTGTTCTGCCATTTGGTCTATTTGCATATTAGGGTTTTATATATATAAAGATAAGGGCCCTCTCTACTCTAGTATGACCTCATCTTAACTCATTACATCTGTGATAACCCTATTTCCAAATAAGGTCACATTCTGGGTCCTGAGGATTAGGGGTTCAACATATCTTCTTTTTTGGGGGGAAGTGGGTGGGAGAGAACAATTCAACCCATAATGGGTATCTAGCCCATACACCAAACAGTTCCTTCTCTGGAACTTCAGAATTGAGAATGAAATTCTAGTCACAGCCTGGGATGACTGGTCTGATGAAGAAAGAGGGGACAAGGGGAGGCTGAGGCTCAGCCTTCTTACACCTATGGACTAAGTAGCGGAGAAGGTCTGTTTACAGCAAGGAGAAGGGAACAGCGTGTTGGGAAGCAGAGACAAAAGGGATAGAAAAAGAGTAGTTCTGGTGGCAGCTTTCACTCTGGTCCTACCTTCAGTTGTACAGCTGTCCTGACTTGGGCTCCCTGAGAACTGCTTACAGAAAAGCTTGCTTTGTTTGCTTAAGAAGCTCGACTTGGCTTACAAGCACAGTTAATAGAAAATCTATAAACAGAGTAAGATACTATATGAGTTTCCCATTGCTGCTGTAACAACTCACCACAAACTTAGTACTTAATACTAAACACAAATTTACTATTATACAGTTCTATAAGTCAGAAGACTGCTAAAATCAAGGCTGGCCCTAGCCAGTTTTGCTCAGTGGCTAGAGCCTCAGCTGGTGGGCTGAAGGGTCATGGGTTCCATTCCTGACAAGGGCTTGTATCTCGGTTGCAGGCTTCAACCCAGGCCCCAATTGGAGTGTGGCAACCAATCCATGTGTCTCTCACATAAGACACATTGATGTTTTTCTCTGTGTCTTTCCCTCCCTTCCAGTCTCTAAAATATCAATGGAAAAATATCTCAGGTGATGATTAACAAAATAAATAACCCTGTCCTAATTGGTTTGGCTCATTGGATAGAGCGTTGGCCTGACTCAAGGGTCCCAGGTTCGATTCTGGTCAAGGGCATGTACCTTGGTTGCGGGCACATCTCCAGTGGTGGTGTGCAGGAGGCAGCTGATAGATGTTTCTCTCTCATCCATCAATGTTTCTAACTCTCTATCCCTCTCCCTTCCTCACTGTAAAAAATCAATAAAATATATTTTTAAAAATAAATAATCCTATATAATAAAAGCCTAATACGCAAAGTTCCAACCCTTCCTTTGACCAGTTGACCAGTTGCTATGACATGCACTGACCACCAGAGGTCAGACACTTCAACCAGTAGATTAGCTTGCTGCTGGGGTAAGGCTGATCGGGACTGGGCCAAACGGGCTGGACACACCCTGGATGAATCTGTGCACCAGGCCAATTTTGGCCTGATCCCTACAGGCCAGTCCAAGGGACTCCACCAATACACGAATTCATGCACCAGGTCTCTTCTTCTTCTTTATGGAAGAGCATTCCAGGCCAATAAACAAACAAACAAACAAACAAATGGGGAACAGTATTATGAGGAATCACTACAGTGACTTATGTTTTACCAGCATTTGAGCAGGCTATTATTTTAATCAATTGTAAGGAGTGAGAAAAGATATGCCATGATGTCCAATATTCTTGGTGTATGAGCATTATAATGTAGATACTGGACTAAATGGAATCATGACTTTTTTAGGAGATTAGTGGGAAAGGTTAATTACAGATGGGATATAAAATACAGAGAATATTATTCAAGATCCTTAATCTTAATCACATCCATCTGCAAAGTCCCTTGTGCAATGTGAGGTCTCATATTCACAGGTCCTGGGAATTAGGACATGGACATCTTTAGGACCTATTGTTTTGCCTCCCACAGATGCCCAATAAAATATATCATGACCATTTGTAATAAGATAGGTGGCTGAGAGTTTAATGATCTTTCTTTGCACTGTTTCTTTTTCTTATAAAGTTGTTTCATTCTATTTGAACTACTCACCCTGAAGCCTTGGCCTGCTAAAGGTCTTTATGAAGAACACAAGGTCAACTCTGTCAGATTCAAGGACCTTTATTTTGCTGCCTTCTTATAGTTGAAGGTTTAACTATCCCAGAAAGACACTAAATGAGGACATATTCCCAAAGGCCTGTTTGGAGCCGGGAAGGAAGGAATAGAATGAGATAAATTCCCTGCTAGAGAATTGCATGTATAAAATGTTCTTATTGAAAAAAGGCAATTGAAATTCTTCTGAATAGAGTCTGGGGTAGATTTCTTGATAAAGGTATTGTTTCTGGCAAGCTATGAAGCTTGTTTATGTATATACACAATAAACAAAATGTACATCTATACGAAGGCAGGTTCACCTGTTCACTCAACAAGCTGCCATCACACAGTGGAGAACACAATTTCCTGTCTTCCTAAGTGTCCTGGAGGAGACAGATTTATGCAAAAGATGTCATAGTTTATACATATATTATTTTGTCAGGTGGAAATAAAGTCTTTGAAGAAAAATAAAGCAAGCTATGAGAGTAGAGAGTGACAGAAGAGGTGCTATTTTGGGTAAGGCAGTTTTTTTTTTAAATGCCTTAAATTAAAAAAATAATTTTAAAATAATTTTAGACTCCCAGGAGGTTGCAAACAAGTACACAGGGAAGCCCCACACATTTTTCCTAATATCCCCCAAGGTTAAAAAAAAAATTTGCAATTATAATAAGATATCAAAATCAAGGAATTGACATCACCAGTTATAAATGCACTTATTTGAGTATATGTGCATAGCTCTATGTAATTTTATCATACGTATAGCCTTGTGTAATCATCACTACAATCAAGGAACTGAACAGCATCTATGAATTATACTCAATGAAGCTATGACAACAAAAAAAATATTCAACTGTATCAACACAAGAAATGTCATTGTTACCTCTTTATAGCCACATCCATCCCTCCTCACCATCACTAGCCCCTGGCAACCACTTATCTGTACTTCCATAATTAGGTTATTTCATAAACATCATATCAATAGAATCATACAGATCAGCTTTTTTCACTCAGCATAATTCCCTTACAATCCATCCAAGTTAGGTGAACCAATGCTTTGTTCCTATGTATTTCTCAGTAATATTCCATGGTATGGATGTACCACAGTTTGCTTAACCATTCACCTATGAAACAATATTTGATGAGTTTCAAGTTTTGAGCTATGACAAATAAAACTGCTATGAATATTTGTGTACAAGTTCCTGCGTGAAAATAAGTCCTCATTTATCTTGGCTAAATGCCCAGAAGAGTGATTGCTGGGTTTTGTGGTAAGTGTATGTATGGTTTGGTTTTGTTGTTTTGTTTCAGAAACTAACAAACTTTTCCAAAATAACTGTAATTTACACTCTCCAGTGATGTATAAGTGACTCAGTTTCTCCATAGCCTTGCCAACATTTGGTATTAATCACTGTTTTTCATTTCAACCATTTTGATAAGTGTGTTAGGATATCTCACTGTGGTTTAACTTACATTTCTCTAATGACTAATGATGTTGAATATATTTTTCATGTATTACTTGCCACCTATATAGTCTCTTTGGTGAAGTGTCTGCCTGTTTTTGCCCATTTTCTGATTGTATTGTTTGTTTTCATGTTGCTGGTTTTGAGAGTTCTTTATATGTTCCAGATACTAGACCTTTGTCAGATATATGCTTTGTAAATACTTTCCCCCAGTCTGTAATTTATCTTTTCATTTTCTTAATAGTGACTTTTGCAGAGCTAAAAAAAAAAAATGTAAAATTCTGATGAGGTACAATTTACAATTTTTCCTCTTGTAGGTCATTCTATTGGTGTCAAGTCTAAGAACTCTTTGTCTAGTCATATAGGTTCTGGAAATTTTCTCCTATATTCTTTCCTGAAAGTTTTATAGTTTTTGTTCACATGTAAGTCCAATGATTCATTTTGAGTTAATTTTTGTATAAGGTGTCACATTTAGGTTGAGTTTCACAGTTTTGCTTACGTATGTCTAATTGCTCCAACACCATTTATTGAAAAGGTTATCTCTCCATTGAATTTCTTTTGCTGCTCTGTCAAGAGAAATTAGGCATATTTGTGGTCACATTTCTAGGGTTCGTATTCTGTCCCACTGATCAATGTGTGGATCTTTCTGCCAGCACCACACAGTCTCGATTACTGTAGATATCTAGTAAGCCTTAATATTGAGAAGTGATTTTCCCCACTTTATTCCTTTTCCAAAAATTATGTTGTCTATACTGGTGCCTTTCACTTTCCAAATAAATTTTAGCATAAACTTGTCTATGTCTACAGAGAAACTTGCTGAGATTTTGACAGGAATTCTGTTAAACTGAGAGTTTTAGAGAATCAATTTATAGGAAATTGACATCTTTAGTACAATGAATCTTTCAATCCATGAACACAGTATATCTCTTCAAGGATTTAGGTTGTCTTTTATTACTTTCATCAGCATTTAATAAATTCTTTTTAAATATATTTTATTGATTTTTTTACAAAGAGGAAGACAGAGGGATAGAGAGTTAGAAACATCAATGAGAAAGAATCATCAATCAGCTGCCTCTTGCACATCCCTTACTGGGGATGTGCCCACAATCAAGGTACATGCCCTTGACCAGAATCAAACCTGGGACCTTTCAGTCCGCAGGCTGATGCTCTATCCACTGAGCCAAACCAGTATTGGCTAATAATTTTCATCATATAGATCATGTTTATATTTTTGTTAGATTTAAACTTAGGTATTTAGTTTTCTTTGGAGCAATTTGTAAAGAATGCCTTCTTGAGGAGAGATAGTTGAACCGAGATTTTAGTTAACTTGAGAACGTGAGTGCAAAGGTCCTAAGGACCTTGTTGGTGTGTGTAAGGATCAGCAAAAAGAACTGCATGTCTGAGATGGAATGAGATTAAAAAAAAAAAAAAAAAAGAGTAGCACCAAATGGGATCCAGGAGGTTGCTAGGGGTTGTCCGGGCCTTTGTAAGGTTATGATGAGATCTTGAAGATTTACTCTAAGTGTTATGAGATACCATCAGAGAGTTTTGAGCGCAGGAATGATGTGATATGTCATTTTAAAAGGATCACCCC